GGGAGAGTGTCTCGCCCGACAACTGGAAGCATTTCTGCCAAACGGAACTATGCGCATTATCGCTGTTAGTCCTGTTATGCATATATCCTTATGGGTCTTGGAGCTCACGTCTTAATGCACATAGTTCCGTTTGGCAGAAAGTCGTCCAATAAATTGTGAAAGAGCCTCACAAGAATTTCGGTGGGACTAGGTCAATTAATTATTCAGACTTCAAGTTTCGATCAACTTCTTCGGAGCATTATGGATCGAAATTGTAGTGACCGCTGTGGCCGAGCTGTTGATCCCCGAAAGTAATTTTACCCGATGGGAAGTCGTTGGCTGGGTGTGAGAGCAATTATCAAGTTCCGAGCGAAATCCGCTGATAGGACAGTGCGGTGCACTATTAGATAACACTACTCTGCTTCGTCGAGTGTCGCTTTGTTGCGTTACCTTGAACTTATTCCGAGGATAAAATCAGGCCATTGAACTTTACGGAACTGATCGAAGAAAGGCGCGGATCTTTGATGGACGAAATCTCTTCTCTTAGCTCGAGCTTTCGTTCGAAAGTTCATCTCGTTAGCCCTTTCACCAAAAAATGCCTCATTTTTTACTTTCGGCGTCACATCTTTTGGATAACATCTTGCAAGTAGGAGCAATAATTTCTGGCTCATGCGTAACAACACTCACGTGCACATGGATATTAATGGTGTATACGTTGAATCTGAACTTGACCACCCTAATAGCAATGGCCTTTCAAAACATTTTTCAAAAACTCCTTAGAAAACTGTTAAAATTTTCTCACTAGGAAACCCCTTCTTGACTATTTTTTAAAGTACAACGAGAAGTAAAATTTAAGTTAAAATTAAGGAAAACGTGATAAAAAAAAAAACTATTTTTTAATAATTTAATCACTGTAGTTTTTTTACACTTTTTTTTTAAAAAAAAAATATTTTTGACGTTGAAACATACAGTTCATATTTTGAGGGTTTTTTACAACACTTTTTTACTTAAATATTACCGCTCGTAAAACACTTAAAAAATAGTCAAAACGGATTTCCTAACAATTGAATTTCAACAGTTTTTTTTAAGACTTGTCTTTTTGAAATTTAAGAGTTTTTTAAAAGTTTTTTTTTTTTTTTACAGTCGTTGCTGCTAGGTAATTAGCCAGAAATTATAGTTCCTAATTGCAAAATGGAATTCATTTCCTCATGGGCAGCCTATTGTTAGGCTCTTTCTCAGCATAGCAAGCAGCGTGGGGTCCGCAGCGAATTTTTTCCAGCGCAGAGCGACGGGCGATGAGGAAACATGGTCGAATAAAGAGAGTGAAATTGAATCTGTTTTTATCACAAAATAATGCCAGCCCGCCGCGAGAGGGTAGACTGCTGATTAAGCTCTCGAGTGCGCTGCTGTGCGTAGGTCGACTCATCGTCATCGTTTCGGCCCGCGTTACGGCGTTACGTGATTTCTGCCGCACTAAGGAAGAACGCCGTATGAACACGCGAGAGTTGCCAAATCTCCTCCGTTAAAATGTTTATAAACGAGGGAAATTATCAACATTTTCCCTTGAAATTTTCAGACTTTTTGAATCAAATTACAAAGAAAATCACCTGAGAAATTGGAAGAAAAATATTCACAGATTTTCTTGAAAATTAGTGATTTGTCAAGGGAGCTTTGGCAACGCCTGAAGGTTCATACGGCGTTTTCCCTAAGCACGGCAGATTCGGTCCCGTCGCATTTCCCTTCCACAGTTTTGATTATTTTTATGAGAAACTCCCACACAAATTCGGATATCCGAGAGGATTCCATTGTGACATGGTAAGTTGAGTAAGTAAGCTGACACGCCACGAAAATACGTATACAAATATTGCCCGACTTTCAGGAGCGTCATTTCATCAACATCTTTGGGGAGGGGGGCAAATGAATTTTCTTTTTTTGTTTTTCTAACTAGGGGGCCGTCCATAAATTACGTCACCCATTTTTTTTCAATTTTTCGACCCCACCCTCCATCCTCCTCACCGTATCCCGTTCACATTGCATATGAAAAATGTAAGACGCGATGCCGTGAGTCGTGAACTCGCATTGCTCTGCTCTAGTTTGAAGCAACATTACGAATAAGACAAACGCAAACAAACACAATATGGAAATAAAGCGAGGGAAAGGATGCGCGTTAACGACGGCGCAGAGATACAACTATTCGTACTTGATGGACGTCCGTGCTGCATCTGAAAAATTGAAGGCGCGATGACGCGAACCGTGAGCTCTCAATGCTCTGCTTTATGCTGTCAATGAAGCGTCGCTCTGATTCGGGAGAAAAGTTAAAAAAAGGCCTGAGGACATCTCTCCTACCTTCGGCTGTACTACTCACGTAGTGCTTGAAGCACCATTACGAATAAGACAAACGCAAACAAACACAATATGGAAAAAGAGGGAGGGAAAGGATGCGTGTTCACGACGGCGCAGAGATACAACTATTCGTACTTGATGGACGTCCGTGCTGCATCTGAAAAATTGAAGGCGCAATGACGCGAACCGTGAGCTCTCAATGCTCGGCTTTATGCTGTCAATGAAGCGTCGCTCTGATTCGGGAGAAAAGTTAAAAAAAGGCCTGAGGACATCTCTCCTACCTTCGGCTGTATTACTCACGTAGTGCTTGAAGCACCATTACGAATAAGACAAACGGAAACAAACACAATATGGAAATAAAGCGAGGGAAAGGATGCGTGTTCACGACGGCGCAGAGATACAACTATTCGTACTTGGTGGATGTACGTGCTGCATCTGAAAAATTGAAGGCGTGATGACACGAACCGTGAGCTCTCAATGCTGTGCTTCAGGTTCAATTTTGCAATTTTTACTCCGTGCGATCAATAAACTTTGAACCTGAAAATAGCGTGAACTTGTACTGATTTGCCAAAATTTTCTGAATCCCTCTCCACGTAGGGAATGCGCTACCAGGAAATATCGCATTACGCCCCTTTAACCAGCCGAGGGTCTACGCCCTCAGATGCGAGCCAGTCCGACCCTGGCACCGCTAGACCCCCCCCCCCCNCCCCTATATAATTTATGGACGGCTTTTAACATGGTACCTGGTACCCAAGTAAATAAATAAATTAGACGTAGCCTTCATCTCAGCAGGGGGAGAGCAGTTAGTATTATAATTTTCACTAATACATTTATCAAATTCTAAAAATTTAGCTTGTTTCTTTCCCGTCATCCATTCCTATTCTTCATGCACGATCCATTTTCTTCAATTTTTATCTCAGGGAGCCGTCCATAAATTGAATCAGTGAGAATGAAAACACACAAACTCAAAAAAATGAAAATATTCAAGACACACACCAAACTGCACAGTAGGTGAAGAGGTTAGTCCAAGAAAAATATTTTTGATGCCGAAAAACAAGTACTTGAAGAAACTTTAAGGGTGCAAGTTGGAACGGATGCGCTAACTTCAATGACCTTTATGAAAATTGACGGTCTTTAATGAAAATTGAGCATTTTCGAGTTGCAGAATATTGGTGTGTTTTCGTTCTCACTGATTTAATTACTTAAGGCACTTTTTCCCATTTTTAGACCCTTTCCCCCTTCGCAAGGCACCC